GTAATTGGTTCAGTTATCGAAAATCCCAATGTTAGTTAAAATCTAATATCCAAAAGTACTAACATTAGTCAATCAAGTATTTCCAGAATTATCAAAAAGCACAACTTTTATCCTTATAAAATTCAGCTTTGCCAAGAACTTTATGGAAATGATTTTGAAAACCGAACTGAGTTTTACATGTGGGTGTTAGATAAAGTGGCAGAAAATGAAAAGTTTTTCGAAAATGTGTTATTTAGTGATGAATGTACTTTTCATAACAATGGTCTCGTGAATAGACACAACTTTCATTATTATTCTGATACGAATCCGTGCGCATACAGGGTCATGAAAAATCAAAATAGGTGGTCAGTTAATGTGTGGGGTGGAATACTGGGCCAATATTTAATTGGACCCTATTTATTTGAAGGACATCTAAATGGTTTGATGTTTCTCCAGTTTCTAATAAACCAACTCTCAATATTATCAGAAGAAGTCCCTTTCAATATCAGAATCAACATGTGGCTGCAATTGGATGGAGCTCCGCCTCATTATCACTGCGAAGTTCGGCAATTTTTAAATGCAAACTTTCGAAACAGGTGGATTGGCAGAAATGGGTTTCAAAATTGGCCCCCCTGATCTCCGGACTTAACTCCACTAGATTTGTTTTTGTGGGGGTACATAAAAGGAATTATCTATCATACGCTTCCGACAACTTCACACGATATGAAAACACGCATAAGAGACACGCTTTTAAAACTGTAACTCCGCAAATGTTGTCCAGAGTTAGCAGTGGTTTTGAAAAAAGAACTTACAAGTGCCTGGAAATGGACGGTCAACATTTCGAACATTTGTTATAAATAATTTGCCTTTGTTTTTTGTTATTGTTGATATGTTACTTAACCTTTTAATTTAAAAAACACCAAATGGTGCACAGAACCATTATTTGGTGTATTTTGTAAAAAGGCAAAAACTTAGTTATCAACATCCTAGTATCATTCGATAGATAATTAAAAATTGCATTTCGTGGTAAGCTAAAAAATATGGGGTTGTATTTAAATTAATCAAGTTATAGCCACTTAAAGTTCTTATTTGATTAGTTTAAATTTGTGGACACCCTGT